AAGATGGAAATGGAGAGGAACTACTCACAGCTAAAAGAACAAGAGAAATTCCCTAAAAGAACAAATCATGAAACAGAAATTATTAGTCTACTAGACCTCCAAATTCAAAACTATGGTAAAAAAAATGTTAACTGAATTAAGAAAAATTATCAATAAAAATGCAGGACACTATAACAAGGGACCAGAAAGGAAAGACAATCAATCAAAAGTAGATAATTAAGTTGCTGAGATAAAGGCCTATCTAGAAGCAATAAGTAGCAGACTACCACAGAAGATGTGGGCTTCCCTTGCGGCTCAGCTGGTAAGGAATCCCCCTGCAATGTGGGAGGCCTGAGTTCAATCCCTGGGTTGGGAAGATTCCCTGAAGAAGGGACTAGACACTGACTTTAGTATTTTGGCCTGAGGAATTCCATGGAATGTATAATCCTTGGGATTGAAAGAGTTGGATGTGACTGAGTGATTTTCACTTTCACTTTTCACAGAAAAAGAAATAAGTGATCTGGAAGACAGAATAATGGAAATCACCCCATTAGAACAGCAGACAAAAAAGCAGATGAAGATATAAAAAAAGAAAGTAACATATGAAGTCTAAAGGATAATATCATGTGTCAATCTATGTATTTAAGAAATTCCAGAAGGAGAAAAGAACATTAAATGGACCAAAAATGTATTTGAATAAATTATGAGTGAAAACTTCCTAAACCTAAAGAAGGAAACACATATCTAGGTACTAGAAGCACAGAGAGTCCCAAACAAGACAAACCCAGAAGACCTACTTCAACATATACCATAATTAAAATGGCGAAAGTTAAATATATACAATTCTAAAGGCAGCAAAAGAAGAATAGTCAGTCATTTACAAGGGAGCTCCGGCAAGACTATCATCTGATTTCTCCAGAAACTTTTCAGGCCAAAATGGAATATCATGATATATTCAAATCCTGACAGGGAAAACCTGGAACCTAAGATACTCTACCCAGTAAGACTATCATTAAAACAGACGGAGAGAGAAAGAATTTCTCAGATGAGCAAAACCTAAACAAATTCAGCAGTATTATATTTGCCCTAAAAGAAATAATGAAGGGCCTTCTTTAAGTAGAAAAGAAGAATCCATAGGAAAGGGAAAATCACAATAGGAAAAGGAAATATATGAAAGAATTGAAGAGCACTTAAATAAGCCAGTAATTATATAAATAAAAACAAAAAATTATAAAAGTGATTTTAACTACAATTAATAGTTAAAAGATGAGCATGAAGATGTAAAGCAGGGTAAAGTCATAATATGTGGCAGAAGAACATATAAAATTGTAGATCTTTTATAATGTGTTTCAACTTGAATGACTATCAGATTAAAGCAAGTAGGTAAAGTTATGAGTCAACCTACTGAAAACCATGGTGACCAAAAATCAAAAATACACAACAGATTTAAAAAAAAACTAAAAAGAAAGCAACTCAGGTATACTAGAGAGGAAATCATCAAACTACACAAGGGACAACAAAAAGAATAAGAAATGAAGAACTACAAAAACAACTGGAANAAAAAAAAATCAGCATTTCTCTAAGCAGCAAAAATTATTACCATTAATAGGAGGAATGTGACAAATATTTTTATTATTTTATATTATTTTAATCATTTAATTATTATTATGTCTGCCATTTTTATTATTATTCATCAGTCTGGAAAAGCTAGATAAAACACTAAGACAATAAAGTTAAATGATTTTTATGTGTTAGAAAAAGTAGAAATAAATCTTATTACTTCCAAAAATCTCTGATTTAAAAAATTCACTAGAATTAATAAAAGTATGTGATACGCTGCTTGCATAAAAGACAAAACACAAAATTAGATGCTTTTTCTATATTAAAAATAAGTTGGAAATAGATATAGCAACACTGTTTTATTAACAATACTATGAAAAAAATCACTAAATTCTTGGGAATTAAAAAGAAAGAAAAAATATCTATAGAAAGAAAGTAAAGAAATATTACTGAAGGACATATGTGGTATATAAACAGTATGTCTCAGGAGGGCATGGCATCTCACTCCAATATTTTTGCCTGGAAAATCTCATGGACAGAGGAGCCTGGTGGGCTAGAGTCTATAGTGTCCCAAAGAGTTGGACTGGACTGAATCTACTTAGCACGCACACGTGCAAATGATACATCTACAAAGGAAAGGTTATTTAACTGGATGCAAAAAGCTTGCTATCATAGAAAATAAAATGGACAAATTACTAAATAGAATCTCAAGTTTTTCTCCAACTTGATAAATGTCAATGTAAAAGTTACATGAAAGAAGTACCATTTTAAGATAATTAGAAAAATTACAAAAGAAAGTAATGGAGACTTGTCCTATAAAATAATGCCATGACATAAAACATTCAACTCCAATTTATATGATATTGGTAAAGGTATACAGTTAAGCACATCACAGAGTGGAATAGTGAATCCAGAAAAAGATCCAAATGTATATGAAAACTTAATACAGGATATAATGACATTTCAATTCAGAATAAAACGTGTGGTTGTTGCTCAACTAATTATCTATCTGAAAGAATAAAATAAGGTAAGTTCTCCAGAGCATACAAAAACTAAATTCCATCTGGGGCAAAATCTGAAATATAAAAAGGAAAACAATAAAACATTATGATAAAAACATAGGGAAACTATTTTAGTCTGCAAAGTATGGGAAAAGAAAAGGAAAAACTTTTCACTCAAATGAAGAAAACAGGAAATTATGAAATTAAAGATGTGTCTATACATCATGAACCATATAAAATTACATAGAGATATGATATATAAGCAATAAACAATAGAGTTTGGAAAATTCTTGAATGTGTAAGACAAATGCAGGGATACCATCATACCGTATGATCCAGCAATCCCACTGCTGGGTATATACCCAGAAACAAGGCGAAGAGTGATTCAAAAAGACACATGCCCCCACATCACAGCAGCATGTTTACAATGCCCATGGCCTGGAAACAACTCAAGTGCTCATCCGTAGACAAGTGGCTTCAGAAGACGTGCTGTATACCACATACAATGGATCACTCAGATGTCAGAAAAGAATGAGATATTGCTGTTTGCAGCAATATTGATGAACCTAGAGAGCATCATGCTTACTGAAGTGAGTCAAAGACAAACACAATATGATGTCACTTATACATGGAATCTCAAAGTGATACAAAGAATCTATATGCAAAATAAATGCAGACTCACAGACATAGAAAACAAATTTACAGCTACCAAAGGGGGAAGCAGGGGGAGAAACAAATTAGAAATACAGGACTAACAGATATAAACGACAATACACAAAACAGGTAAGCAACAAGGATTTACTGTATGGACAGGGAATTACATTCAGTATCTTTGAACAACCTATAATGGAATATAATCAGAAAAAAATCACTATACTATCCACCTAAAACTAACACAATAGTGTAAATCAAGTGTGTATACTTAGTTGCTCAGTCGTGTCCAACTCTTTGTGACCCCGTGGACAGTAGCCCACCAGGCTCCTCTGTCCATGGGGATTCTCCAGGCAAGAATACTGGAATGGGTTGCCATGCCCTTCTTCAGGGTAAATCAAGTATACTTCAATAAAAAAAATTACTGCATTTAGGCATCTCTTGAAAATTTACTACAAAATTGTATTTGTAAACCCCAAGAGAGAAGGAATATGAAATAGCATTTTATGGGAGACCAAACCAACAGCTTGCAATTATAAGAAAAGTGGTGAACTCACTAGTATTCAGGGAAATTTAATAATGTGATAGGGCTAATATTCATTACTTGAAGAAAAATAAAAGACCAATAACTACCTTTGATGCAGCGATATGAACAGAGATTTACTGACGGAAATGTGAAATGTTTTATCATTTTGCACAGCAGTCTAAACACTACTCAAATCTATATCTGTCCTTCCTATCTATCTGGTTTTGACAATCGTGCCATTGAGGGGGGAAATTCCATACCATTGAGGGGGAAAAACATGTTTGGATGCATCCAGAAGAAAATGAGCTATCTATGAATTAATCTTCACAAAACACTGGATACATGCTAAGTCATGGGGGAACATGCCGTAGAATGACTCAGGACCACATGAGTGGTTTGAAATGATCTCATGATGTGTTTCCCAGAAGAGAAAGTAAGATGGAGAAAATTATGTAAACCGTATTCCATTTCTGAAGGAAACCATGATCGACCTCATATATGTTTATGCTATACGTATATAGGGNTTATTGACTATGTCAAAGCCTTCGACTGTGTGGATCACAATAAACTGTGGAAAATTCTTTTTTTTTTTTCATTTATTTTTATTAGTTGGAGGCTAATTACTTTACATCATTGCAGCAGTTTTTGTCATACATTGAAATGAATTAGCCATGGATTTACATGTATTTTTATCTTAAAGGCTCTGTGTCACATATATGCCGTTATTTATTTTTGACCACAATGTTGGCAGAAATACCTTTAAAATGTTACATTTACATGTAACATTAGCATGTCCTGGGGCTTTGTTAAAACTCCATGTTTGGAATTCATATTGTAGGAATAGACCTGAAGGATGCTTGCAATCCAGACCCATTAAAAATGGGAGATGGTAAACTGGAGAATATTTCTCCAAAATACAACAAACTGGTGGATATAACAAAAAAGAATCTAACTCACAGACAAAGAGAACACACTAGTGGTTACCAGCAGGCATGGAAGAAGGGCTGAGAGAGGTAAAACAGGGTTGGGGAAGCAAAAGGCACAAATATTGGAGGTAAGAGCTTCCAAGGATGTATTGTACAACATGAGGGATACAGCAAATATTTATAACTGCAAATGGAGAGTGATCTTTAAGAATTGCATTTTATAAAAATAGTATTTTAAAAAATATCTGGGCCCAATTTATTTATTTATTTATTTTTACTTGTTTGGCATGTGGGATCTTAAGTCGAAAAAAATGAAAAAACAAAAAACCATTTTCTGGGATTATTTTATTCAAGAAATGGTCAAGTACACACGGTTGCCCCTTCGGTGAGCAAGCAGGCACATAGACTGCTTCTTTACAAGAGCTGAAAGGAGTCAGAAGGTTATTAAGCCTCTTAAGAATGGAAGGAAACAAGCTTTTCGGAAGAAGCAGATGGAATTTTAATCTGAAACCACATTGGCAGCTGGGCTCCCGAGGGCATGGAAGTTTGTCCCTCCAATTTGAAATATGTTCCTGTTTCTCTTAGCTCTGATTATTTGTCTGTTAAAAAAAAAAAATGCAGTATTATTTCTTTCCCAGCATCTGTAGAACTTGAATCCATTGTCTGTGTCTGTTGAAGTCTTACCTTTGTGTCATCATTGCATATGTTATAGAAAACTGCCCTCATTCATTTATTCAGCAAGTATGTTTTGAATGCCTACCGTGGGCTACGTACATTGCATGTGTAAAGTCGCATTTGGGCAGGTTTACAGCTCCTTCAGTATACCTTCTCTCTGGAAAAACTTCAAGGCTTCCTTGCCTACCTTTGTGATATTAATAGCTTCCTATAAAGAGTTCCTACAATAGCTGTGCTAGGAACTGCTACTTATTGTACGGTAGTGGAGTGCCTTACACTGCATTCTGTACAACAATAAATACTATAGAAAGGTTCTAGTGCATTTGATGATATCTGGCCAGCTTACCCATAATAACTCTGACTTCATTGTGGAAGAAGGGCCTTCTATGCAAGGCATAAAATCCAATTGATTTTTATGAAATAAGATGCTATGAAGAAGAAATGCATTAAGTGTACCGTATCACAATAATTCCACTTTGTAAGCTAAATGGCTTTTGGAACATTGTTGAAAATGCTGTCACTATTCTGAGCATACATAAAAGAGCAAGATTAAGGCCAATAATTTAAAAGTCAATGCTATTCCTATTCAAAGATTTCTTTCCTCAATTAATGAAGCATTTTCTCCTCTGTGTCAGTTAAAAATAAAATCCAACATAGCTTTATATGATATGATCAGACAAAGAGCAATATGTAAGTTATGTTGATTCGACAAAGTTTCTTTATTGAATTATGGGCTTGCTGCTATCTAACTTCAATTTAAGACACCTTATAGAATCTATTATGTGTATTTTAAATGATACATTTATGCTTGGACTGCATTTATCAAATTGTTTTAAAGTTAGTTTATTTCAAGAAGCCTGGTTAGCTAAATTTTGTAAACATTTCTAAAGTAATGGGATATGAATGCAGACAGGAAAAGCAAGCCTTCTGATTTCTGGGACAGAGATGTAGCTCTTATATCAGACAGTGAACTGCAGTGAGTTTGGTTGAGTAGATAAACGTCTGCAGCACTGGTTCTTAATCTTATTTCTGCCCTATACACTTGAAGAATATAGTATACTCCGATCAATAATAGAGGCATGGTGACGGTGATACTGTGGATTGGAGAAGTAGGCTGAAAATTACCAACCAACCAATCAACCAGTCAAGCAACCAGCCATCCCCTGTGAAAGAGATGATGTGTAAATGTTCTTCTGGCAGACATATCAGAACGCAGTTAAAATTATGTGGACAATTCTTGAACCCAGCAATTTTTAGTTCTTATTTCTGGTGATCCTAAGTGAAGTGATATATTGTTTTCGAAGCTGGCATCCAGGTGTTCAGTAAATACACAATTAAATCAAAAAAGGAATGAAAGCTGCTTTTTAATATCCCTTATTTCCTGCTACAGCAAAGCAGTATACACTACTTTGTCATTTAACATTTCCATGTTAAATGGAGCTTCTTATAGCATTTTATTAAAGCTATCTGGAAATATCTAAAAGATATGCATATACGGTAATTACACTACTTATGTATCCACTTTTGATACACAGGGGCTTCCCTGGTGGCTCAGCTGGTAAAGAATCTGCCTGCAATGCGGGAGACCTCGGTTCAATTCCTGGGTTGGGAAGATCCCACGCAGGAAGGCATGGTAACCCAGTCCAGTATTCTTGCCTGGAGAATCCCCATGGACAGAGGAGCCTGGCAGGTTACAGTCCATAGCGTCGCAAAGAGTTAGACATGACTGAGTGACTAAGCACAGAACATCCACTGGAAATCTCTCTCATTAAAGTAAGCCCCTTGTATATCTAAAATAGAAAGGTTCAGAGATGATCCTTTTAGAGCTATTTTTAAAAAAGAGACACAGCGAGTGGCCATTATTTGTATTTCTACACTATGACATATTCAGCTATTAAGAAGAATAAATTATATTTCACAGAGGTTTCTAATTCACAGAGGTTTCTGCAAGACATTTTCAAGGAGCAAAAGCAATAACAAAGAAATACCTGACAATTTTTGTGAAAAGAACAGTTACAAAATCCTCATGTTTCACTGCAGATGATTAAATATTGGGAAAAAGAAAGATAAACAAATTACTAAATGGTTGAGTAGATAAACGTCTGCAGCACTGGTTCTTAATCTTATTTCTGCCCTATACACTTGAAGAATATAGTATACTCCGATCAATAATAGAGGCATGGTGACGGTGATACTGTGGATTGGAGAAGTAGGCTGAAAATTACCAACCAACCAATCAGCCAGTCAAGCAACCAGCCATCCCCCGTGAAAGAGATGATGTGTAAATGTTCTTCTGGCAGACATATCTGAACGCAGTTAAAATTATGTGGACAATTCTTGAACCCAGCAATTTTTAGTTCTTATTTCTGGTGATCCTAAGTGAAGTGATATATTGTTTTCGAAGCTGGCATCCAGGTGTTCAGTAAATACACAATTAAATCAAAAAAGGAATGAAAGCTGCTTTTTAATATCCCTTATTTCCTGCTACAGCAAAGCAGTATACACTACTTTGTCATTTAACATTTCCATGTTAAATGGAGCTTCTTATAGCATTTTATTAAAGCTATCTGGAAATATCTAAAAGATATGCATATACGGTAATTACACTACTTATGTATCCACTTTTGATACACAGGGGCTTCCCTGGTGGCTCAGCTGGTAAAGAATCTGCCTGCAATGCGGGAGACCTCGGTTCAATTCCTGGGTTGGGAAGATCCCACGCAGGAAGGCATGGTAACCCAGTCCAGTATTCTTGCCTGGAGAATCCCCATGGACAGAGGAGCCTGGCAGGTTACAGTCCATAGCGTCGCAAAGAGTTAGACATGACTGAGTGACTAAGCACAGAACATCCACTGGAAATCTCTCTCATTAAAGTAAGCCCCTTGTATATCTAAAATAGAAAGGTTCAGAGATGATCCTTTTAGAGCTATTTTTAAAAAAGAGACACAGCGAGTGGCCATTATTTGTATTTCTACACTATGACATATTCAGCTATTAAGAAGAATAAATTATATTTCACAGAGGTTTCTAATTCACAGAGGTTTCTGCAAGACATTTTCAAGGAGCAAAAGCAATAACAAAGAAATACCTGACAATTTTTGTGAAAAGAACAGTTACAAAATCCTCATGTTTCACTGCAGATGATTAAATATTGGGAAAAAGAAAGATAAACAAATTACTAATGAATTACTGATGGCCGGCATTGAGGGGCAGTCATGTGGCTGGCTATAAGTTAGAGGTTAAAAAAAAAAGTAAAAATTAATGATAAAGCAAAACAAAACCTCTATGTGCTTTCTTCTACTTATGCAAAATTCTTTGTTTTCTCTCCTACCTACCTACCTAACAGGTACAAAGTCCTAGAAGAATGCTGAGTCACCAGAATGTTAATGATGGTTATCACAGAATGGCCCAAATACCATATAAATTTCACTTGTTTTCACTTTTATGTATTGTTTGATCTCTTTACATTGTTTACATCATCTGGACTTCTTTAAAGCACTTCAGTTTTTACATTTAATTCATTTATTTTTCTTTTTTTAATTTATTTTTTAATTGGAGGAAAATTGCTTTATAACAATGAAAATTTCATAAAAGCTTTTTAATTATAAAAATAAAAATGGCTTTATAATGTTGTGTAGGTTTCTGCCACACAACAGTGCGAACCAGCTGTAATCACACATGGATGGTCTCCCTCGTAGGCTGCGGCCCCTCCAGGTCGTCTCAGAGGGCCACGCTGGGTCCCCTGCCTTAAACAGCAGTTCTCCGCAGCTCTCTGTTATATACACGATAGCGCACATATGTCGATGCACCTTTCTCCTTTTGTCCCGTTCTCTCCTTCCCCGACTCTGTCCACAAGTCCGTTCTGGACGACGGCATCTCCAGTCCTTCCCTGCAAATAGGTTCACCGATACCATTTTTCTAGATTCCATATTTATGCATGAATACACGATATTTGTTTTTCTCCTTTCTGAATTACTTCACTCTGCATAAGAGGGTCTAGGTTCATCCACTTCACTAGAACGGAACCAAGGGAAAGTATTATAAGTATTCATTCTGAAAATTAAATGCTTAGCTTCTTGGCTTTCAGAGATAACAAAAATGTCCCAACTGCTGACAAATCAAACACCAGTCAAAGAACTAAACCAATCAATCTACCTATTAATTAGCTAGTTTAAAAGAAACAAGCACGCTTATCTGTAAGAAATATTTGTTTTGAAAACATGTTTTTCCCATCTTATGTTGGTGTATTTTTTTCTTTGAAGGTCAATTTTTTTTTCTTTAATGTTAAAGAGGCAGAAGTAACTAAAAAATAGCGGCTTAAGCTATTTCTCAAAAACTGTTCTCAATACAGTAAGAAGGGTCAGGTCAACTATTTTTATAATTCCCTTTCCCTAGATTCGAAGCTGAGAGAAGAAATTTGCTCTCTCTCCTTACAAGTCTCTTGAGGAAACCTGTCTAAGCCACCCTGTAACACACGCATGCTTGCTAAGTCACTTCTGTCGTGTCCGACTCTGTGTGACCTGTGGGCTCTGGCCCACCAGGCTCCTCTGTCCAAGGAATTCCCCCGGCAGAATATTGCAGTGGGTTGCCATCTCCTTCTCCTGAATGAATAATAATAAATGCACTAATACACGCTGCACACTTCCATCAGTGCCCCGTGCACATGTTGGTCGCTCAGTGTGTCTGACTCTCTGTGACCCCGTGGACTGTAGCCTGTCAGGCTCTCCTGTCCATGGGATTTTCCAGGCAAGAACACTGGAGTGGGTCGCCATTTCCTTCTCACTGTAGCGTATAGTCCCATTTTATCCAGTCATTCCTCATTGATGAGCATTCAGTTTTCTTCTAGTAAGAGAGAGTTTTCTCCTTAGCTTTGTTGGATTGAATTCCATGGATGGAGGAGGTTGGCAGGCTATAGTTCATGGGTTTGCAGAGTCAGACCTGACTGAGCGCGCGCACACACACAGAAGAAATGAGTGTCTTAGTTAAGAGGGTGAGATTGTTTGAAGGCTCCGACTCAGACCCACCGCCCAATTCAGGCCCCTTCAAGCAATATGAGGACAGCGCCAAGCACACACACAAATTCCCTGGGTACTGAAATCAAACAGGACGCATTTCAAATCCCTGTGCCACCTCTCACGAGCGGTGAAGCTTGGTAAGTCACCCACTGTTCTAGAGATTTTGTTTCTTCAGCTATCGAGTGGGCACAGCACTCTTACTTTCAGAGATGTAGAAAGCCTCAAACCGATATCTATAAGCATTCAGCCCAGTGCCTGCGTGGTACTCCACAATCACTCAATAAATAATAATCACTACTGTGATTACTGTTATACATTTCTGTGTATTCTTAGAATGTGATGGTGTCACAAAAAATGATTGCTTCTATGGATACATGTATAAGCATTATTTATATCAAAGGGAGAAAAACACACACACACACATATATATACACACACGTGTATATATACACACATATATATATTAGCTATGTGAGTTCCATGCATCATAATATACTAATGCAATATTGTATATTCCATGAACTGGGGGAAGTGGAGAAAGCATAGCTGATTTGGGACTATGAAATAATTTTATTTAAATGTCTTCTCTATCTTTATGCCATGTAATCTTAGCTGAATCTTGTTTTCCCTTTTATAATATAAACAAATATATATATATATATTATATATATATATATATATTTTTAACAAGAATCCATCATGATGCTCCTGAACATTAAATCCTTAATCATCACTTGCATAGCCAAGAAAATGCTTTTCCTTGCCAAATCTACTGTTTACTGAAAAGATGCCAACATTTACCACTAAAAAGACAACATACTTGGAGAAGTAAAATGAAACACATAATTAATCTTGTGTATATTAAATATGCTTCTGGAAGCCATTTAATTTGTGTGGGAGACCCGGGTTCGATCCCTGGGTTGGGAACATCCCCCTGAAGAAGGGAAAGGCCACTCACCATGGTATTGGACATGACTGAGTGACTTTCATTTCACCTTTGAACCTTAGAATTCTTAAATTAAGACACTGCATAAGAGGAACTGTCTCCCCTACTAAGCTATACTTGTTTAACACTTCCATTTTTTTTTTTCTGTAGAAATAATCACTAAAACAAACAACAGTTTAAAGTGGTTCTCAAATTTCTTGAAAAGTATCAGCAAAAACAAATGATTTCTTATGTAAGAAGAAATGTCTCAATTAAAGTACTTAGGATAACATAATTTTTCTTTAAAATAATTTCCATTTATTTAGATGAAAATAAAGTACAAGAAAAGTGCTAAGAGAGACAAATATCACTGACAGTCTCATCAACCAAACACTTTTTCTCCTGTTCTCATTTTTCCCAAGGTTAAATTTTTTGTCTTCATAGTTGTAGTCCTACTGCATGCTGTTTGTAACCTGCGTGAAAAAAATTTATGAAGTAGTTAATTAAAACAGACATAGCATTAACTCAGAGACTTTATACATCCTCTACCCTTTGTGAGCCAATATCCTGTTTTCTGTTAGGGTTCAAAAAACAGTGAGTTTAAAAAATCATACGGTCAGATGGGAAAATAATTTACCCATAGTATATAAACTAATTTGACCCTTTCTCTGTAAATTTGGCAGCCTCTCGTGAAATTGTGAATTGGATGTTGAATTTGATTAATAACCATATTCAGGATTGCATATTTTATGTAGGAAATTTCCCATCATCAAGCTTTTAGAGATTAAAGAACTACTGTGTTAAATCTGTGTATTCTGTGGCAAGGAGAAAGGTTACAAGTGGAAAAATGTCCAGGTTAATTCTTTCTGGTTGTGGCTGCCTTTCATTAGCCATCCTGTAATGAAACATTTGGTCACTGTCACTGGTAGGCATTAATTGCCAGGAAATACATATTTAAATAGCTCATATTTTAGAGCACTTTAGTGATCACAGGATTTTAAACAGTATCTACTTTAGATTAAGATGTCAGAAGTATCAAAACTTGTGAAGTGTGATGTGAAATAGTCCACATGCTAGACGGGAATGATCTCAATAGAAGGCCATTACATAATCATCACTGTTTTCCTCACGCTTGAGTGATAGTTCTTAATATTCAATTAAGAAGCCTGGTTACAAGGCTCAGATGCTGATCCAAATCTCAAAGAAAGCTTAATTTGTTTGACCCTTATAACCTGCTTTTATTTGAATTTTTGACTAACCCAGTTCCTGCTACAACCAGGGAATCTAATCTACATTTATTATTATATCATCATCATCAACTATTGAGAGATGGACAGGAATCTAAAATCTAAGTTTCTTCAGGATATTGATTTTTTTTTTTGAAGGGAAATAAGTTCAGAGAACCTTTGACCTACATTACATCTTTTTTATTTGCTAACATAAACAGGAACTATCCATAGATGCAAGGGATTAAGAGACACAGGAGACTAGATTATATATTTTAAACTTTGGAGACCTGAGAGAATGCCTCAGTGTAAAACTGCATTAACTTTTTGACACTTTCCTTAAAATACAGCTAAGTTATATGGCTTTGTTTCTCATTCTGTAGGTACTTAGCGGTACAGGTTTTGAGGTTCTGAGTGAAGCACTCTTAAATTTTACCAGGAACAGGATACTTACAATGTTTCCATCATTTTCACTCTGTAGTTTCCTTCATAAAACTCTTTCCCCAAAGAAGACTGTCCATGCAGCGCACTCCTCAGCTATTCTGTGTAAATCCTTATATTGGAGCAATTCCTGAGAAACTTCCCAGCCCTGGTTTTTACTGGGTCAGTGTGGTTCTTCACAGAGAATTCCACACAAAGTTTCTTCCAAATCTATTCACACACTGCAAATAGTTTGAGGTTACTGCATTGCCAAGCTTAGATAAAGAGATAGCATGTCCATTATTGTTCAAGTGCTTTTTTCCTTGCCTCATCTGCTATCCACCTCATCTTTTAACATGGAAAAGAATATTCCTCACATTAGTACTGATTTACATTTATTCACTTAGTGGATACATGTAAAGAAAATATTATGATCAGTTAGGAGAATTTTAGATCAAACAAAAGAACAAAGAGTCCTCTTTCAAATCATTTTACTCAGTGTATTATATGGAAATAATTTCTTTTCCTCTTTCTTGCCCTGTTTCATCTCCCTCTCTTATTTCTCTTTTAATATTAGATATTTTATTTAAATCACTATCACAAGTACCATTTTAAAGTATTAGTACATGTTTGCAAAATTTTCAGTTTAATTTAGACACATCATTTTGAAATTTCAACAATACCTTCTAAACACTGAAATACATTTTTCCTCAAGTGAAAGAAATTTTCTGTAGACACAATAAAAGGTCTATTTTTATAATATTTTCCATTTTACTTTCGATTTTTTCAGTTACTTTTTGCTATTAAAATCATCCCTTGGTGAGGTTCTTTACGCCCAAATTTTCATGCAGGCTTCAAATTTGTGACCACATCATGGAATGCTTCTTTAGCGTCTCCTCAGCCTTTTTTCCCGTATGTAAAGTCCTCACAGGTGTTGAAATAGCCGGAAGGAGAAAAGTGTCTGAGCACCTTCTGTTTGCCAAGCGCTGAGCACCAGGAAGAATAAAGAAAAGGCGCGGCTACATGACTTCTACATTTAATCCACAGGTACAATAGGGCCACGTGACTTTTAAACTTAATCCACAGGTACAGACTGCCAAAAGTAGCACCACTGGACTACTCAAAGCACTAATCCTCTTTCGATGGGCACGTTTGTCAATAATATCTGACATAGACCCTGGGAAGACCGAAAGAACCCTTTCAGTAATTGGGTGGACTAAAGTTTTATGTGATCAGAGACCATACTGCTGCTAAACAGACCAAAGCCTCAAGGTCCAGTTAATTCCCCAGCCTCTTTTACACCATCCTAAGGTAAGATGGGGACTGTCTGCCTCTCCTTTATCACCGTGTGATTCTACTGTATGCCAGATTCCACAACTGCGTCTCTCTCAGGTTGCGTATCGTGTTCACATTTAAAGCCTCCAACTTTTTTTCATTATTTTCACATACCCTTTCAGTTGTTTCTGTCCTACATTGTAGCATATCAGCCAGCACTGGGTGATTTTTATAGCAGCTGCTTTATGTACCAAGTTGTCCTCTTTTTCTGTGATTCAGTTTCAAAAAGAAAATAAAAGATTCAATTTTGTTAACTGAGGTTCGAGATAATAGTGAAGTGGACAGACATATAAGGAGCTAAATTAATACAGTATATGCACTCTTTCATAATATCTCCCAGGATTTTTCTCTTCATTTTCATTTTTTGTTAAGATGAAACCTATAAGACTCTTCATTTTTACCATTATATTGACATTTTTTATTCTTCCTAGATATCTATTTCAGGTGAAATATTCAGCATTGTAGTATATTACGTAGAAATGAAACTATTAGCTTGGCTCTGACAAAGCTGTCAAAAATTTAGCACAATGTTTAGAATCATCTGTTTTTCTCATCTTTCAAAAGGGAATGACAATATAAACATGATTCCTAACAACAAGAAAAAGGATCTCATAGAATTAAAAAAATATCTAAGTAATGACATCATCACCATTTGCATTTAATTTTGACGCCTATCTCCTTGCTGTGCTGTCTGATTTCAAAATGACTTTTAAAAATTCTGGGGTGATTATTTAGAATATCAGTATGGCTATGTTTGCAAGTGGGCTTATGTATCAGACTGTTTACAGATGTTTTAGTAGAGTATTCAAAATCCTAAGTACAGTTTAGAAACCCCCAGGAGAATATTTAGGTGCTATTTGACAGTTTACCAAAGAAAGAGCAAATCTTACTTAAAAAAGCTGCCCACTATCACGTTTCAATATTGTGAACAAAAGAGCTAAACAAAACTTATTTTGCAAAATGTTCTCTGTATACATTTTATAAATTATTCTTTTTATTTCAGTTTAACTATCAGACAAGGAAAATTTATCAGGAATTATGTATATGTGTGTATACATATGGATATTATGTATTTCTTTACAGAAAAAACCATATATTTATATATTTTTTATTTTTTTTCCCATGTAATATAGTGGGATGAGCATTTCTTTGCACATAGTTTTGCCATATAAGAAATCTAGAAGATAGTATAACCTTGGTATGTGAACACTGATTAAAAGAAAAAGAGTGATAGAGGGAAGAAAAAGGATATATACACCTCATTAATCATTAACCCAGACAAGATAGATGGTATTTAACAGTTATCTCCTTTAATGTTGAAAAAAATATTATTGAATTTCTGTTTAGTGATATCTGGCCTGTTTTAGAGATATCAGCATGGCTAACAAAT